CAACGGAGGGTCAGATCAAAGGACAACACAATGAATGGTCAGGTCACAAGCCGAGTCAGATGCCAGAAGAGTCACGAGAGTCAGAACAGAGTTATAGCAACACAAAGACACAAGTGCAAAGGGCATGTGCGGACCACAGGCTTATATGTAATCAACCACACCCCTCTGGGGGATGGACCTCAGAGACCAGAAGGCATAAAAGATTCCCATCATGCTCTGCAGAAATCCAACATGGATGCCAGCACATGGAGAAACATAACCTCTGGGAAAAGGTAGGACCTTGACACCTGTAAGTCTCTCGCTGGCAGTTACTGATGAGGAAGCAGAAAGTTCAATCTAAAAAGTTTGATCTTAAAAATTCGTTATCAAATGTTCGTGAATTATTTCAATCGATATATAATATAGTAGACACAGCTATGAGGAATCCGGAAGAAATGGCAGAAATGCGCACTCACCGACCGCACATAGGAAATGCGCATGTGTGTATTAAATTCCGCAGATGTCGTTCTCCCTCTGGAAGGGGTGTCATCAAACGATGATCTGCTGGACTCACAGGGCCTCCTTTGGGATCAGGATGAATCAACCGGGCAAAAGGCTCCCTCCAGGTGAAGGCTTCCCTCCTCTGGATGTAGTATGTATTGGAAGCTGTGTCTGCTCCTCTGCTGCCACTTCTGGTAACGTCTCTTTTCTACTTCCAGCAGATCATCGTTTGATGACACCCCTTCCTGAGGGAGAACGACATCTGCGGAATTTAATACACACATGCGCATTTCCTGTGTGCGGTCGGTGAGTGCGCATTTCTGCCATTTCTTCCGGATTCCTCATAGCTGTGTCTACTATATTATTATATCGATTGAAATTATTCACGAACATTTGATAACGAATTTTAAAGATCGAACTTTTTAGATCGAACTTTCTGCTTGTTGATTTTTAGCGCTGCACTTTATTTATTTACTTATACCTGAGGCGGTTGTGATCTCATCTAGTGCTATTAGCTGCTTATCTTTACTTTTTTAAAAGGAGCGCTCACTTTGTTATATAAGTTACTGATGAGCGCCTGGAGCGCAGAGATGGCAGGAATGGATCCCACAGGCTGGGCTGAAGGACTGGAGAAAGGGATGAGTGTTTGACATGTTCAGACAATCTGGGTCGGCAACTGGCGGGCAGATCTGGTTTAGACGGCAGACAGGAGAGTAGTCAGGAGACAGGCCAAGTTCGGTAACAGGATGGATAAACAGAAGGAACACGCAGAGTGTAGTCCAGAGACAAGCCAGGTTCGGTACAGGGGACATTCAAACAAAGTCAGAGGTAGATCAAGATGGTAACAGAAGATCAGTCGGGAAAAGAAAACAGGAACTCGGGAACGTAATAGACCAAACAGCACTGATACACTGCACCAGTGCAGTTTAAATAGCCCTCCTGGAGCCAATGCGTGCTCGCACATGCATTCGTTCACACATGTGCATGCACATTCATTAGCACACCCGCGATCCAGTCACGGGCAGAGTTACTCAATCCTGGGCATCTGCGCACATGGCTATTCCTTTCCTGACAGATAGTCAATATGATAATGACATATAAAGAAACAGGATACAGGTACAATTAGTACCATTCTGACAAAGCCAGTAACAGGTGCACAGGTACAACCAGTACTGTACTGACACAACCAGAAACATGACTGCAGGTATAATCAGAACTGTACTGATTCAGCTAACTAAGTAAGAGACACAACCAGTACAAAACTGTCACAGCCAGAAATATGTCATCAACCAATCCATAGAAAAGAACATAAAAACTATTATACTGTATTTGATAAACAGTTACTCTTCTATAATTTTCCTATAAGACATCATGGGGTTTATTTACTAAAGGCAAACATACTGTGCACTGCAAGTGCAGTTGCTCCAGACCTTGGTAAATGAGGTAAAGCTTCACTTTGCAAAGAACACCCAATCACTATCAAGGAAAATAAAAAACAGCATTTTTACTTGCACATGATTGGATGATAGAAATCAGCAGAGGTTCCCCTCATTTCAGATCTTCCTCAGATCTAGAGCAACTGCATTTGCAGTGCACTTGAGGGTGCAGTTACAGTGCACATTATATTTGCCTTTAGTAAATCAACCCCTTATCTTTTCAATCTATTTTGTTATGAAAGGACAATATACTGGGGTCTGACAAAATTATGGAAACGCCAGAGAACAAAATTGTTACCCAATATGGTGTTAGACCACCTTTGGCATTCAAAGCAGCCTGAATTCTCCTGGGAATTGACAACTATAAGTTGTGGATGATGGATAATGGAATATCATACCACTCTTCATGAAAAAATCATTCCAGTTCTTGCAAAGATGCCAGAGGTGGAAAATGAGCCTGAACCTTGTTTTCCAAAATTGACCATCGTGGCTCTATGATATTGAGGTCCGGTGGCTGCAGCACCCAGGGAAAGCGCGAGACTACATCAGAATGCTCATCAAACCACAATTTGACAACACCAGCTGTGTGAATCAGAGTATAATCATCTTGGTAAATGTCACTGTCTTCAGGGAAGTAATGTCTGCACCATAGGGTGCACATGGTTGGCAAAAATGTGTACACAGTCACTGGCAAATAAATTGGCAACTTCAGTCACAGTGGCGCCATCTAAGCAGCCACCAACAATTTGACCTCTTTGAAACTCAGTAAGCTCTGACATGACTCCGTATTACTATCAGCGCATGCAGTGAATGACATAAGTAAGGCTTCCCACCTGTGAGCTAGGTGTCTCATCACACAACAGAAGCAAATGAAAGTTACATCACTTCTGCTTTCAACGTGATACATGTTGTCACTTTTACACCTGCAAATCATGTAGTGTTTGCATATTTTTGTCCAACCCAGTATATCAAACAGGTTTTGTTAAGATAAGTGGCTTCCCTACAGCACAGTCATAGACTTAAACTTGCAGGGCAGACCTGATGCTGATTGGTGTCCGAGAAGGAATGCTAGTTTATTGTATTTATTCATTGATACACAAGGGAAATTCATATCTCTTTAGAAATCTGTCATGCCTCCACAAGACAAATATTGGTGCAGACAACAGATGCATGTACCAGCTGGTAACAGCTACATGAATTTAGGGCAAGCATTACATGCGGAAGTGCACTGTGGCTGCAGTGTCTATTCAGACAGTGTGTCCTTAATGCAGCTGAGCTCCTTCCCGCCGCTGTACCCGATACACAGACAGTACTTATAAAGGCATGGCAAGAGTTAAAAAGAAGGAATAGAATTTACAAAACTGTTTTGCTTCGTGATTTAAATTATTAAAGGCCAAATTCAGCTTTTATTTGAATACAGAGGGGATGGCTCGGAACCAGCTGTCTATGTCTCCACAGGGGATTATTCACCTCCCTTCCTGCACCAGTGCCAGGAGGACAGAGGAACAGGAAATAATGGGAACAGTATTCAATTTGTATAGAGACAACCAAAACACTTTCTTTCAGCAGAGTAGGGAAAGATGTGTTGTTATCTGTGCCTTTATGTACTGGTGACCCAACTCTCCTTTCTTCTTGTCCAAGTGTCAAATAGACAAAAGTTACAGTAGATGTAATTTCCCAAAGTTGTAGACAGCAATAATAACTGGCTACATCTGGCTGAGTAAAAGCCCAATTCCAGCAAAACTTTATTTTATTTTTATTTCTGAATAAAGTGAAGAAACCTTTTTTGTGAGCCAAAAAAATATGTTTTGACTGACATTGGGTTTAAAATTGACCAGAAAAGTCTAAGATAATGGAGAAAAATGTAAAAACAATAAGATAATGAAGTAATTTGACACTGTTATGGCAATTTTATCAAAGTAATACAATAAGAAGGTCATGATTTGGACATGCTGATGTGTCTACTCCCAGTCAAATGCAAGAAATAATATGACTCTCTCATGTTTCCTCTATCAGCACCAAAACTCAAAAGTCATGTTACCAATTTGTGTTGTGATGGTATAAGACTCTCGCCTGCTTGTCAAAGATGTTTCCATGAGCAAACCCAAGATTTTGGAGGGACTGTGATCAAGGGGAGATGTTTCTTCACCTTTGGTTGACGTACCCAAAAATCAAAGAGTTTTGGGAATACATCTTATGTAGATACAGAAAACTTTCCTTAAACAAATAAGATGCACTCCACTCCAATTCCTGTTTCATGACATACCTTCCCCTATCAAATCATCTAAGGACAGTGTTACCGTGCATTTACTAAATATCTAGGTTCTGGAAGCAGTTTACTTGTTTTGACGGTTACAGATTGGCAAGAAGGAATCGATAGGGTGATGGAGGCTGACAAATGGATTTTATGTCTAAGAATAAGGAGGAACAATTCTGAGACATTTGAGCAGGGTGGATGTACTACTCTTTTGAGATGCATGGGAGGGATGACTAAACCCATTTTTTTTTTTTCTTCAATCGTATGCTCTACCAAATGATTGCTAATGCTACTGCCTAGTTATTACAGGGTTTCTTCATTATATTCTCTACTACCCATTTTTTTAATAAAATGGATACGAAATATACTATATCTGGCATCACTTTCATGGTGCTACATTGTTTCTTTGTGTGTTTACTTTTCCCTTTTTATCTTTCTTTTTTCTTTCTTTTTTCTTATCTTTATTCGTTTGGATTTCATCTCATGCATGGTAATATTAGAAAATACCCCTACTTGGATCTTTATGGATGGAAGACACACTCCTATACAATCTGAGTGACTGTGCTTACCCATTATTGTGCTAAATGTAGCTACAGGATGTATATGTGTGTGTATGTAATCCATACACTACCTGAAAGTTGTAGCAGCTCCACTGTATGGAATGCTTTGCAAAATTGTATTCCATACTGATTTTTTATGTTGTTTACTCTTATTTTGCAAATAAACATTGATTATGTACAAAAAAATACAATTATACAGCTGTATTTTAAATACTATATACAGTAAATTAAGCTGAGATTTTTTAAATACACGCAGCAATACCTTACCACTGAGTTAAAGAGGATAAGGGACTCCAATGAGAGCTGTCATGAGCGGAGCCACATCTGCCTTTAAAACAAAGCACATTATTGCGTATCAAAATGGAAGAAAATAGATGTCAACAGTAGTTCATTTATTATTTATTACAGGTATTTCTATAGCAGCTACAATTTATGCAGCACTTTTCATATATTGTACTTTTATATCAGTCGCTGCCATCAAGGAACATATATAAACATACTAGGGACAATTTAGACAGGAGCCAACTAACCTACCAGAATATATAGGCTGGCCCTTCCTTCCTGCCGGGCTATTTGACAAGGGGGACGAAGCCCCTGAAATGAGTCATGGTCCGCCCATTTCCGACATCAATTTGCTTTTCTTACAGCTAGCTGCTGTGATTTGCAGCTGGCTCTTTTGAGCTTGTGACCTGCAACCCATTATTCACTGCTGCTGCCAGCTTTCCCCTTCTGCTGCCTATACGATTCTGGTCTGTTACACATGCGCCATGGTGATGATTTATCCAAGATGGACTTTATGCTTTGGGATGTAAGTGTGCTTTCATTGAATAAATGTTGGTGATTTTACTTCACTAACTCCAGTGCCCTGGTGTGACTTCTTTACCTACATGTGAGTGGATTCATCCCAGTTCCTCGCAAGAGCTGCAGGAGTTTTTGGGTTGTCTTGAACCCCCTGGCTTTACCTTTTTGACAAATTTTATGCACACAAACTGTTAATGGACACATGAATAGGATTGTGGTGCATGCCTTGTGTGCATACCTATTGCTTGTATGCTTAACCTACCAGAATGTCTTTGGAGTGTGGGAGGAAACCAGGTTACCTACTGGAAATCAAGACAGGCACATGGAGAATTCCATGCAGGTAGTGAGATAGTTGGGATTCAATGACCCTAGTACTGAAAGGCAGAATGGCTAACCACTAAGCAACTGTGCTTATACAATTAATATACTGATAAATACAGTACTTTACGGAACTGACGCAATACAGAGCTAATGCACAAACTTCTGTCTGCAGATACAAAGTTAGTATTTGCCAACAATAACATTTCTGACTTTTCAGTTGGGCAATAATTATACATGATTCCATGACAGATAGTCAGCTAACAGCATCAGTGTCAATTCTGGTTTGTGACTTCATAAATACTGAACAAATGAAGTTCAACTAGCAGTCAGTAAACCAATACACGATCAGATGCATCTTTTTCCAGCTATATTGTTCAACACATATTTGAACATCAGGTGAAGATGAGAATTGGCAGTTTTAGGTCTTCTGGACACATAACTATATTTTGTTAGTTTTGTGACCTACAGTAGCTTGCAATGAAAACTATGGAATAAATGGGAGGGAACATTGCTGAAAGGTCTGTCCCCCCAAATCAGGAAAAAGTAGTAAAAAAAAAGAGAGCAGAATGGAATATTCTGGAATAATCACCCACTCAGACAGACAATCAGGAAAAAGAGCATGACAGGTCAGTATTAAAAACAACATTAAACTTTAAGGTGGATCTACAATCAAATGTTAACCAAATACTGATTGTTTCACTGGTATAAATTAATAGAGAGTACTAGAAGTGCTGAGATACTGTATCCTTAGTAAGAGTTGTCCCAGGCTTCCTCAATTAGGGTTCACATAATCATATATGTGATCCTATTGTCGGCAACAACTTGGCAGCAGCAGGATAGGAGAAAATACTAAGCGCTTTGTACAGTGTCGCTACTTTACTAGTAGGATGAGCTTGGCACCACTTCCTCAGTGACATTGAAGAAATACTCACCTGTTTGAACAGCATCAACCCTTGCTTGAAGAATAGGAAAAGTAGCAATGTTTTGCTTACCTGGTCATCAAGGGAACAATGCTGTGCAAACAGGAGTATTTCTCTGCCCTCATTAGCAGTGCTGTCACAGGTTCTCAAAGGTGGCATGGTCCAAAAAAGCTCACAAAAGCTGGAAATGAGACATGTTTTGCATGCTCAGCAAAGATGAGTAATCTACAGCTGGAAATAAAGATCCACCAGTATTATTTTTAGGAATATAATACATTTTATCACTTACACTTTAAAAGAAATATTACAAAAACTGCAGGCCTTAATATTTGACACTGCAATGCATTCAGCGAAGCATAACGCTTAGACAAAGTGAGTCAAGCTAAACTAAAGGGAAAACCATAAATAAAATTATGATTTAAAAATGAATATTAAGCAGCGTACCCACAACTGAGGTATTTTTTCTTTAAAGAACACTTTGAGATGAATCTTATATAATTCACAGTATATGCTACAACATAAAAAGCTCTTTACTATAATATTTCCTATCTATCGCAGCGCTCCTTCAGTGTTACCTATAACGCTGCCACCTCCACCTCACTCCCTCTCTCTGTAGGGGTCCCTCAAGGTTCTGTTCTTGGACCCCTTCTCTTCTCCATCTACACCTCCTCCCTTGGTCACTTGATAAACTCCCACGGCTTCAATTAACATTTCTATGCTGATGACATGCAAATCTATCTGTCTACCCCTCACCTCACCCCTTCAGTTTCCACCGGCATCGCTAGCATACTAAGCGACATATCGGCTTGGATATCACTCCACTTCCTCAAACTCAACCTTTCCAAAACTGAGCTCCTAGTATTCCCCCCTGCCCACGCCACCCCCACTGACTTCACCATAAATATCACTAACACCATCCTCAGTCCATGCCCTCATGCCAGGGTACTAGGTGTAATCCTAGACTCCCATCTGTTCTTCCAGCCCCAGATCCATCGCTGACAAAATCATGTAGACTTCAGCTCCGCAACATCTCCAAGATACGACCGTTCCTAAACCAAAAACCACTAAGCAACTTATTTACTCCCTTGTCATGTCACGCCTCGACTACTGTAACTCCCTCCTCATTGGCCTACCTCATCGCAGGCTATCCCCTCTTCAGTCTATCATGAACGCTGCTCCCAGATTTATCCACCTTACTAACCATTCTGTATCTGACACCCCTCTCTGCCAATCCCTCCACTGGCTCCCAGTTGCCCAACGGATAAAATTCAAAACACTAACAATGACATATAAAGCCATCCACAACACTGCCCCAATTTACATAACCGATCTTATCTCTAAATATCACCCAAACCGTACACTCCGCTCCTCACAAGACCTCTTACTCTCTAGCTCCCTTATCTCCTCCTCCCATGCTCGTCTCCAAGACTTCTCCAGGGCGTCACCCATCCTCTGGAACTCCCTACCCCAGTCTATCAGACTATCACCTACTCTACTTGCCTTTAGGCGATCACTGAAAACCTATCTCTTCAGGGAAGCCTATCCCACCCTCTACTAATTCTGGAATCCTCCACTCCTCCAACCACTCCATCCCCCACAGTTACTACCTACTGTACCACTCACCCCTCCCTACTAGATTGTAAGCTCCAAGGAGCAGGGCCCTCAAATACCTATTGTATTGAACTGTATTGTTACTGTATTGTCTCCCACTATAATGTAATAAGCGCTGAGCAAACCATTGGCACTATATAAATCCTGTATAATAATAATATTTACAAACATGTTGCAGTGGCTTGACAAATTTTGAAAATTAAATAAAGTATGAGTTGCACGCTTACAAAAGGGCTTTACTACAGTATATTAAAGTGAACCTGTGCAAGTCTCATGCAGAGCAAATCAACAGGAACCCTTTAACATGCTTGATGGCAGAGCTGTGTTCACATTCTTATTTTTATTTTTTTTTGCTTAAAGAAATTTAAAGAAATTATTTTAGGTCTGCAGATAAGTTAAAACTCCTCAACAGTATATATTTTCTGAAAGCAGAGACCCTGGAAAATAAAATGATGGCATTTCCTTTTTTATTATGTTGCACAATGCTAGTACAACAGTTTAAAAAATGCAAATTTTCAGTAAAAAATAAAGTTAATTTTAGTGCACACAAATGGGGGAGAGGGGATTAATGTTATGGGTGTCCATAGAAGCTGACAGTTGGCTTGTCAGATTTACACATACTCCCAGCTCCTGTAGCAGCCAGAAGTGTGTGTAAACCCCAACTGCTGCTGCCAAAGTATGCCAGATGACGGTGGCTGTAGAAGGGTTAAAGCTGCAATCATAGGTTCACATACTCACTTTTTCTTTGTTCCTCTATTCACCTAGGCAAGCAAAGTAACCTCAGCATAAACGGAATCGAGTACTAAGTAAACAAACATACAGCGCTCCTCTAGGATATGCGGAATCAGCTAGTCCATATACATACAAAGTCTGTGATGGAAGCAGCAATAAGGGAGGAAGGATGAAAGGATGGATGGATGAGAAATGCCAGCAGTCTATTCCATACTAATGGCTGGTTTTGGAGCCCTGGTGTTTCTGTATGCTCGGTGGTCTGGTCGTCATTGTACACACTATGCCTTTAGCTGCCTTGTGTCTTGATGTCCCTAATATACTGTCTCCCCACAGTCTGGCAGATTGGTGAATTTTTCACATGCAAGTGTGCTGCTTTTCCATAAAGGTGTCTTTGCTTGGTATTAACCTCAGCACCCTACTCTCAACTTCTTTTAAAGTAACCTTCTTATTATTATTATACAGTATTTATAAAGCGCCAATAGTTCGCTCAGCGCTGTACATTACAATGGGGGACAGAACATGTGACAGACCAATACCAATACAATGCAAAACATGAGGGGATTGAGGGCCCTGCTCTTTGGAGCTTACAATCTAGGAGGGAGGGGATAGTGGTACAGGAGGAGATAGCTGTGGGGGATGGAGTGGTAGGAAGAGTGGAGGAAATCCCATGAAGTCTACCCCTGAAGAAGACGCGTGCCACAATGCGTTAAGTGGAGCTGGGTGACGTCACTAGCATTTGACAACAGGGAGTTAGCAAAGTAACCTGCCCAGTTAGTCCACATATTGGGGCAGTATGTGCTCCCCCCTTCTTTCCACACAACAATAGTGATGCTTAGCATCACAAGAGAGTGTAGAAGGGGAAAGTCAGAGCTTACACAGGGTTTCTGCTGCTCATTCCCCAAGGTGTATGGACCTTCATGTTCATACACCTGGGGGTAAATTA